ATGTTACAGCTGTCCTCTGCATGAGGAACAGCAGCATGGTGGAATTCACAGCGTTTCATGGGATAGCCTGACCTTTTTTTACTGACTTCAGTATCAGAGGTCCTTAAATGTGTAATTCCTGATTTAGGATACCTTTCAAACCTTTTTAAATAAGCAGGCCTTTTTAAAATTATTTATTTATTTATTTATTATGCACCTCTAGGAAGATTAATTTGGGTAGTGGGCTTTTTTTCTACCAGTACAGCTTATAAAGTCAAGGTAAACTCTTATTTCTGAAAGATTCCATAGAGCAGCACAATAAGTCAAAACCAAAGGTTCCTTGTGCACTAAGGAGGTTAATCTGATCAGACTTTAAGACACAATTCCAACTACTCTGCTTCATTATAAACGCACAGTTTTTTTAAAACCAAAATGGAATACCAAATTCACTGCTTCCTATTGTAGGGATTCTGAGCATTACAATAAAAATCTCTTTTTTTTAATACATGCAAAAGTGATGCTGGAAGATCTAGATAATATGTGGCCTGAATATGATGTTCCTCAGCAATGGGATTCATAGACAGTATGCACCTGGCTACCATGTCTGCTTACCTGGTTGGTTGGCACTTGCTACCTTCATGCAGGGGTTAAGGCCAAAAGCAGTGAAGTTCATGTGCACGAGCAGAGATGGTGTCATAGTGACACCTCCGCAAACAGCTGTCCTGCCAGAAAAACATTTCCTTCCCACTTAACTCCTGACATTGCTTTATTTAGTTAAGATAATTTTGTTTAGGATTTTAAAGGGTCATTCTTCCAAGCAGAGGAGGCAGAAGCACAAGAAGCCCCAGAGACCTGAAATGGGAGTGGCAGCCCTATAATAGGGGCCTATACTAAGAACTTCTGTTCTCTCTGCTTTCACCCACCAGTTGTAGCTGTGCAACAGGTGAAGAAAAAGCAGAAAACCACTGGATTTTGGTGCACAGGGTAGCTGGGAAAGGACAACTCTCTGCCAGGACACCAGCAAAGCCCTTTGTTATCTGCAGATCCACGAAGAGATGTCCAGGCAGAACGCTGTCCCACAAAGGAGAGTTGTCCTAGACCTCAGGGTACCACTCCTAGAGAAGTATCTTTCAGTCTAACTTAACCCTCTAATTTCTGAATACATCTTTAATCTCTGAAAATACAGAAGTTTTTTGTACCAGGCTGTGAGAAATGGCTGTGATCAAACCTACACAGCGCAGACCACAAAACAGCCTGTAGATCTTATGACTATACCTTGTGATGAAACCATAGCACACATTATCCCCATGGAGAAGTCAGTATTTTTAAACTAGTTCCAAAGCGAGAGCTTTGCAGCATTAACAAAAGTAGGGCAGTTACATTTGTGAATGCCTTTATCCAAAGGAGAAGTTGTGGTTTTAGGAATACTTATTTATATTTTGTAATTAAACACTGGGCAGCTTCAATGGAAGGGAGGACATCAAAGTCTCCTCCCTATGCAGTGCACCGCTGTTTGTGAAATGTATCTGAGAGAGGCCTTTCTGCCAGCTGTTTCTTGGGGTGTTGAGGCAGCATCTTCATTTAAAATGTTGAAGTAGTGATGTGGCTGGGGCAGCACAACAGGTAGTTCTTGTTTGCTTGCTTCTAGTGTCTCCGGTATTTGGTAGGGGTTAGATTCAACTGCAAGATGAGAAGAATAGGCAAAATTTTCAAAACAAATAGGAGTCTGAGGTGCATATGTGGATGTGAATTCTCTCTCTTTACTTTCCTTAGAGTAAATCCAGGAGGAGTCATGACCATCAATCTTCTCTTCTGTTGGTGTTGAAGGCAACTGGCTCCATGGGTGTGATTTCTGGGCTTCAGCCTTACTGTCCACTGCTAGTATGTCAGGATTGGAGTTGCTTATCTTCAGTACTCTCTCGGAACCAATCTACAAGAGAACCATGAAACAAAAATATTATTCTATGAAAGAAGCCCAGAGTAAAGCAAATGGAGTGATTACTTCAAGCACTCCTACTATTGTCTTACAAATATTTAGTTTGGGTTATTTTTCAAGGGTTTTGATACGTGCAGTTTTTAGTGTGAAGGACAACCAGACAGCAGCAGCATGGGCCAGTTGGTTGCACAGTGTCCTCCCTCTGGAGCTAGTGTCCAGGGAACACCAGCAGCAAAACCAGCAGCAGCCCCAGGTGTGCCAGGGTGAAGCCCCTAGTGCTGCCACCCTCCTTGCACACAGAATGGGAGGAGCAGCGCTGGGTTCAAAGGGCCCTGCAGAAGAAGCTGGCAGCTGTTTTGCTACCTCTTTCATCCCAGGCAGACCTGGCAGAATCCCCTGGTTCTCCCCAGGGCCAGCAAGTGCCTCTCTCTGCTGTGCCTGACAGCAGAGGAACCTCTGCGGCAGGGGAGGGGAGTGGGTGCAGTTCACACGCTGCAGGAAAGTGCAGAATCGTCTGGTCTGTTGTGCTCAAGATAGTCCTGGGTGCTGAGCAGCAACACTGAAGGAGCTGCCTACTGATAAAATAATTCATTTATTCTCCAATTTTGCTTTCACTTTTGGCAGTACCAGACTGCAGAATATGAACTGATCACTGCAGAACCACATGAACATCAAAAGGACAATTTTCACTAAATGATTATTTTCAATTATGTTAATTTGTGTATAATTAGTATCACTCATTTCTAAATGTAGTTAACTCAAGAAAAATATTTTTATGAAACTTTACTAATCAAAGAATGAAAAAAAAAAATTAAAAATAAGATTTTTCAGTGATCTTACCTTAAACCCTTTGAATGACAGCACTTCACTCTTGCTGGGACTAGGTATTACAGGACAGCAGCACTCTTGTACCCTGGAAACAAGACAACAGAAGAAACAGGGGTTTTGTACTCTCATCAAAGCATATTCTGCCAGCAGAAGCAACACATGACTGTGTACAGAAACAGCAGCAAATTCTTTCTCAGAGAGGCCACAAGCCAAATACTTGCAACATCAACACAGGTGGACACCCAAAGTAAAAATTAATGAGGCCTTACAACAGGCTGGAAGCAACAAGGTGCACCTGTGGCTTGTGAATTACACTGGTTAGGTTGTCTGTCTACAACAGAAAAATGTCTTTTATAACTTACCATTTCATCTTCCAGCGGCATATAGCTGCTACTAGTGATGGAACAGTCACCAGCAGAACTAAAAGGTACAGTATATTTGCTACAAAAGAAAAATGCATTAATATTTTTCAACTTCATACCTGTTAAAGTCAATTTAGCCTGAGTTTCTGGAACAAAACATAACACCAAGCCTGTGTGTGATATCTGCCACCTACTCAGCAGTAAAACTGTATGATCTGTGTTGGCAAGATAGTTTGGCTGGAAGTTCTGAGATACAACTGTAAATCTTTGGACTTCTGTTTCCTTTACCAGAATTGAATTAATATTAAGTGGCTTTAAATTCACCCTCATGTTGGGATCTTAACTTAGGGGTAAATTTCAAAAAGTTAAGACAGTGACAACTTCATTCAGCTATTTGTTTTGGGCTTTCTCTCAGATTCCTCAAGAAGACAAGGTTTTTACCATAAGACATTGAAAGGACATCTATAACTCCATTATGAATGGACTGTGGCAAGACAGACACTACGCAAGTGCTCAAGCTCTCCTAGGATTTATGCTGACACAAGAATCTAGGATTTATTGCCAGCTGGAAGACAGAGCCTTGGGCTATGCTTTTTGCAAACAGTTGAGGCTACAATAAATAAGCAGCCCAAAGGGGAGCACAAGTTAGTGCTAGCTCTCCTTCCTGCCCTCAGAGTTTGTGTTTCCTGATCACACAACACAGCAGGGAAGGGACACATGTTACATGTTCCTTTTCTCTTTCCTTGGTTAAGCCCCTATTTGATTCCCTGGGTGGCTGTACAAACGTCTGTGCTGCCACAAGAGAAGGCTGGAGCTTGGAAGCTGGAACGCCAGCGTAAGAGGCAGAACTGTCTCCCATGAGGATACCATGAGGTTGGAGACACTGTCAGAGTCCATACAGAAACTACCTGTTTGCACACAATTTGGTAGTTTTTTCCACATTAGAAAAGTGGTTAAATTGAAATTGCCATTTTCAGTGCTTTTTAGAAAACAGGACTCGCTAATCATGCAAATGTGCATATATTTTTTCCCAGAAAGATGTACACCTTAAGTAAGAATATAAAGTTATTTTCATTCTAAAATAACAAAAAACATAACTACATCAATATGCCATGTGGATACGCACATTTCTTTTCTCAGTTGGAGCCTTTTTCAAGTGCATGATACAGTGAATACAGGAGGTGTTTTCCCTTGAGAAAGGAAGATTATTCTAACTTTTTAAATAATCCCATCTTTCTGTTAGAACACAAATTTTCCACAAGCAATACTCACAGTTAAATGGTGTATCTATGTATCTAAAGTTAACAATGGGTGTCTCTCCTCCGCCTGTAAATGCTTTAACCACTAGTCGGTATTTTGTGTTTGGCAAGAGATGTTTCACGGTGTATCTCTTTTCTTCCGGGTTTTCAATTTTGTATTTACATAGCACTGAATTATCTAAAATGAAACAGATAAGACAGAATCACAGAATCAATCAAAGAATCATAGCTTGGAGTGGAACAGACCTTTAAAGGTCATCTCATCAGCCTTGTGCAGTGAGCAGGGACATCTTCAACTAGATCAAGGCTGGTCAGAGTCCAACCTGTGCTTGAACATTTCCAAGGATGGGGCATCTTCCACCGCTTTGGGCAACCTGTTCCAGTGTTTCACCTCCTTCATCGTATTTTTTTTTCCTTATATCTAATCTAAATCTACAGTCTTCTAGTTTAAAACCATTATCCCCTGTCCTAAAGCCCTGGCAAAATCTCTCTCAATCTCTTTTACAAGGCCTCTTTAAAGGTTGCAATAAGGTCTCTCCAAAATGTTATAAAACCACTGAAACAACAGCAATTCACCTTCTTTGTAATTTGCACACATTCTTCTGGGAAGGATGATGCATCCTGACTCAATGCCACTAGGATGAATTCACATCCCTTCTAACCACACTGTCCACAGCATTGCACATCCTCTGGCAGACCACCTAATAACTTGCTGTCAAAAGCTGCAACTGTTTAATTTCCTTGTCCTACAGGTTTTTAACAGAATTATATGGGTTTTGCCATTTCCATTTTCACCAGAATTCTGTAGCCCTTAATCTTAGGTCAAGTTCTTTGAAGGCAATCAAAAGTAAGGAATCTCTGCCTGAAAAATAATAAATCATCTTTTGCCTCCCTGTTGTGCAACTCCAAAACTCAGGGAGAAAAGGGTTAGCTTATTCCTCCTCTTCACAGCTACACCCCTTGCCTGCTAGGTGGTTCCAAATTCCCAGAAAAACTGGGAAGCAGGAAATCTTTGATTTAAACATTTTACATCCTAATTGGGATTATTTGCAGAATTATGGGATTTCTGCAGTTATTTTCATTCCAACATGAACTCCTACATAAGTCTTCAGTTCAAACTAAGCTTGTCAGCCTGGTAGAAGTCTCATCAGCAGAAGGATGTGGTTCATGACATGACCCAACAGGAAGAAGAAGCAAGCGAAAAAATACATCTTTAAGCATGTTGGAAACATCTGAAAATTATAATAGAGTTAAGTCATCTGGAACAGTTTTGAGTGTGGAGCTGGAAGACCAGATATAAAAATTTAAACATGGCTTTGTGCCATCCCAAAACTCAGTTTTGCTGAAGGAACTCCACTGTAGAGCACAGCCACAAATACTTTCACTGTAAAAGAATTTAAATGGGGAATTTACACTGTGCTCCAATTCTCAAGAACATAAATTGTATCCCATCTGTTCCTAAAATACTCCAAATTCTAGTAAAACTAACATGTTTCCTATGACTCTCATCCAAGCAAAACGCAAACAGATGTTTTGGAAATTCACCCAGAACTCAGACCACAAGAAGCAGTAACTTAACTCCTCCTACTGTACTGCAAGAATCCTCTCTAGAGTTTCCATTGGAGTTAAAAGGAGCAATAGACAGGGGCTATAAGTCTGTATAAAGTCACAACCTACTTCTCCCACTAGCACTGCAAGCATTAGAGAAGAATCAAAAGCAGCAGGTGTTGAAATCTGTATCTTGCCTTATGAGCCAAATTGCCTGCCCAGTGTGAACTTCCTAAGAGGTGGCAACACTGGCAACAGCCACAAAATCTTTTGCCTGTATCAGTGATACAATGTCCTAAAGCCCAGAGCTCAGTTACCTGGAAGAACATGTTTTATGGATCCTTTTAAACTGCAGTCCTCTTGTAAAGGTGACACATAGACATGGTATCCCCTTACAAAACCAGGCTGTGATTCATCTGTGGGATAAGAATCCCAATATAGTGTTACTGCATTGGAAGTCAGTTCAATGTTTTCCACAACAGGGTCAAGCAGAGGAGCTGAAAGGAAGAAAATTCAAGTTAATCTTGCCATTACTATTCCAGAAAGTGTATTTTCTCGCTTGAAAAACATCTAAATTCCCATATGGTGTTTATGTTTCTATCTTACTTGTACTTAAAAGCTGAACAAATACAAAGTACTCCACAAAAACTGTCAACTTCACAGAGCCTTCAAGTCCACATTATACACAAAGCAGTGACTGCTAATCACAGCTTTGCTTAGCTATTCTAATTAACATGGTACTTGGTAACCACACTAGTCAAATATCCTTGATGCAGGACTGTGTATGTTTTTGTACGATTTTTAACAGCAAATACATTTTTAGCCAGTTGCAGGAGGGAGGCTATGGAATTCTGTTTGTGAGAGGTGAATTTAGCAAATACACAAACCCTAAACTTACGTAGCTCCTTGAGATAACCAGTCTTCTTCTCCAATAAGGAGGCTCTGTCAGCAACAGATCCATAAATGCGGAAGTTGTACCTCACTCCTGGAGCAAAAGCAGCTAGAAAATAGTGGAATCGATTACAAAAGCAGGTTATGGTTTGTCTTTTGGTTTTGCTTTTACTTAACTGCTTTTTACAGGGGTCTGTTAGAATCCATTAGAAATCTTCATGTGCTATTGAAGCAACTGAAGGAGACACAGGGTAAACCAGTTCCTAGTGTGCACACTTATTCTGTCTGAGAGAACTGAGGAAGGGCATTTAACATATTTTTGTTGCCCTAGACTAGTCAAGATGAGGTGCACAACAGACTCCAAATGCCACAAAGAGCAAGATAATTTCAATTCTGTTTCTGGCACAGGCAAAGGTCATGTTTTGTACTGTTTAATGTAGACACACATCCATGCATCAGGATTCCCTGTTATCCTCACTGACATCTGCTCCCATTTGGATTAACGAAGTACAACCCACTGAATTGGACAGTATTTTTCCACGTGTTACCAGACTGTTTCCAGGAAGGACACAGCCTTCCATGTGTTTGTATGGACTGAAGTGCAGTTTCTTTATTGTTTATTGGAATGTGTTCAGTCGAATTCTGTGCTAAGGTGTCACTCCAAAGTGAACTCCAGGCTTGAAAGACTCCATGAAGATTATATTGTTGCAGCTATGGAAGTGTATCAGAGCAACCTTCACACAGACAGAAAGGATTTAACAGCCACCATTGGAATAGAACACACACAGGTCCTAAGCTGGGGCTGATGCTGAGACACATTATTTGTGGCACACTGACAGCATTAGACGTCTCACAATGTAGTGGGTGTAAAATTGCCCAAGTCCCACATTACAGATAAGGCAGAGCTTCATTTTGCATCTCTCCTGCTAAAAGATTTCTAATTCTTTCATTAACTTCATCACCCTCCTTCAGAATGTTACTACAAGCTACTAAGAAGAGTTCTTCTAAGATACTATGCTGACTTTTCTAAAATACTGTGCTGACTTCCAAGGCTTAATGGTGCTGGCAGTTTGTGGTCTAACTCATTTGCAAGGCAAAACATGCCAGAAGCCTTTGAAGAATTACACCGGTAGACTTGAATACACACAGGATTGTTTCCTAATTCAGTTAATGCCCACAGCATAGAAGGTATCAGATATCTGCACAGATATCAGAAAGAAAAATTGTTCGGCTTTTACCTGAGTAGATCAGAGCACTAGAAGTGTTTGGCCCAAATATTTTCCACTGCAAATCACAAGGCTGCAACATTGGAAAATTACACCAGTCGACAATGTAACTGTCATATATATATCTGGGCTCCCAGGAAATAAAAATGCCATCATCTGTACCATTAACCTGTTCTTCTTTAAGCTCTGAACCACTGAGCTCTTCTTTAGTGCCTAGAAATTAACAAAACAGACCCTATTACTTTCCTGCATGAGACCTGAGATTCACAGAGGAAGATTAACATAGTTTCTATGTTAAGCTGTTAAAACAATAATAAAATAGTTGTATTCCTTCACTATCAGATGTCTGGGTTCTTTCTTGTATGCTGAAAGCTGACAGCTCAAAAAGCATCCAGTAATTATCACTATATATTCATAAAAAGAACCCAACTGCAGTAACCTGGAGTCATAACTAAAAGTCACAGGAGGTTATTACACACAAAGAGTTCCCTACAAGGCACTGGCTGCACATTCATGGTACCTGCTGCAGGCCCAAGGCTCTAGTTTAAAGCTAAATCAGAGAAGATTGCCAGTCAAAAGCAGGCTTTCTGCTGTAAGACGTGGATCAAGGCACTTGACCTGAATGTATATACAGTTACCACCCTACAGACAAAATACAGTAATAATTTTCATAATGCAGTGTTGTAAGGTAACAGGACAGATTAATTTGTTTTCTCAAGATGGGAAGTTATCACTTAAAACAGGTGGAAACAAAACTTTCATAGTGGGCAACTAAGTTTAACCAAATATACCTGTAGCTCTAGGGATGATCAATATTGAAGGAAGTGAATAATTAACATTGTTCTTTGCCATGATGCTGATTCTGTAGGAATGGTTATCAATGGAAATCCTTGTGCTATTGTAGACAGATGAAAACGATATGCTTTCAGGCTTAGAGTCATCTTCTACTTTTTCCCAGGTTACTTCATATGAAATAATTCTTCCATTACCTTGAAAATTTGGTGTTTGCTGTAGAAAAATTTATGTGGTTAGACATCAATTACTTAGTAAATTTTGCCAAAAATATTCAAGAGGAGCACTTAGAAATTTAAATAACTAATTGGACGTATTGTTTCTGTAAGAATATAAACATTTCTTTCCATAAATCCATATATTTGCTGGTTGAAATGGAAAAGCATAAATCTCAGCAGTGGAATTTGTGTTTGTTTCAATGCCTAGAAAAATACAAGTAAATATCTGAAATGCCAGATATTACACCAACATATAGGTACATACATTCTGAAATATGTTACACCTCATATTTGTCTTACATTCTTTACAGACTGAATTGCTATTAAGAAATTCTGAAAGGTCATAGAAGTTTCCAACATCTTTTTGAAGGATTTTTTTTCCATTTCTGTACTCATGTCTCACCTTCCAGAACAAGGTCACATTCCGCCCACCCAGAAATGGCGTAATTTCTCTCCAGATGTCCAGTTTCCCTGATGGAGCTGCAATAAAACCAGCAAAACAGATGCTCTAGGTGCAGAAAGGATAAACTGTTTAACTGCTTCCTCTCATTTGAAGAAATTCCAGTCCCAAAATCTCTTTCCCCATCACTCACATGTCTTGCCAAAGTATCTTTTCATTTCTTTCTCTCTTTCTGAGTGAAGGTCTGGTTCATTTCCCTAGAAACATATTTCTTTGCTTGCAGTCCCCATGTGCTTGCTCCCATCACTGCATAGTCCCTCCATCCCTAACAGAACCCTGTAGCCCAGTCTGCCAAACCTCCCAGCCTTCTGGACTTCCCACTGCCTGCACTGGATGAAATGGCAGAGACTGCCAGGTAGGATGAGACTTGTTTTAGAAGCCACCTTATGAAGTTTGCTTGATGTGTTTCTACTTCTATGCATGTAATAGGCCCCTGTTTTAGCTACACAGCAGAAGAGTAGCAAATAGCAAGCACTGGTGGCTAGAGAATTACATCCTCTTGGCTTTCCTTCTCAACAGGCTGGACATACATGCTTCCTTTGTTCTGATGGTTTGGGCTTCACTCCATTCACTCCACCTCCAGAAGTGCTCTGCTGCCCCACAGTGTACTCTGGCCGTGTACTCCGTGTAGGGCTGCAGCCCAGCCAGGGTTACATACTGCGGATGCATGGCTGAACTGTTATGCTGACAGACAGAAAAACAGAACAGTCAGAGCTCAGTTCAGATTCATCAGCATGAGGCTTTTGTCTGAAAAAAATAATTCTTCCTCTAGGTCCTATAACAGTCAGGTAAACTTGGAAAACATTATCATGAAACAATAGTGATCCAAGCACTGGGAGATCCAAAAGGGGGTCTGCAAGCCATCTCTGTAACTGAGTAGGAGTCATTCACAACCTTGACTACTCTCTACATCAAGGAGGGAATTCAGTGAGATCTTATCCTCACCCAGTCTGGGTCTTTCACTCAGTTCATGTAGGTAGGATGCTGCTCTAGCTCTATGCACAGCATCTGCATCGGCCTTTTCCTTCCATTTTTTCCTGACCTTTTCCCCTACTCCCTCCTGGGACACAGAGGGAGCTCTGCTAAGAATGCAGGGGATGCTTTTAAGCCTCACCTCCAATCTGTCTCCTGCAATGGTCAACTGCAGCAGCCACATGATCTAAAAACTCTTGAGCATTACTTAACACAGAATACAGCTTGCTCCTGATCTTCGTAATTCCTTTTGCTGTGATAGAGGCAAGGTGGCCTTGGAAGAAAAGGACTGCAGAGAAGCCACGTCATGTATGCAATGAGTCAATCAGCCTCACTTTTTATGAGAGAGGTGGAACAAGAGCAGGAGGAGATGGAAGGGGATGGGAAGAAAAACAGTTCTGGTGTTCCCTCACTAGACAACAGAAACACTACCACCAATTACTGCCAACAGTAGTACACAGAAAGCTCCTGGACTAATATAAACACCCCTATCCACCATTTATGTATAAGATGGCATGAATCATAAAAATGTGACAAATCAAGGTTAGGTATATCTAACAACAATAATAAGTTCTGTATGTTTTTTCCTGTATATCAACAAACCTCAGAGCCCACCCATCAGAGGACAGAGCCACACACACAGACCAGTCACACCATACACTGCAGCCAGCAGTATAGGAAGTGTTAGGAGTACAGATTAGTGCCAGCAATGGCCACCCATGTAGACACACCATCAGTGCAGAGCTTGGGAGCAAACAAATCCAGAAAACAGACATGTTCACAAGGTTTAGAGTTCATTCATATTGCTGAGAAATTATTTTTTTAATCTCAAGTCAAAAAGTTACTTGCTACATTTTTGCTTATGAAATTCAGGTTCCGTACCACTTCTACATTCCCATCAGGATGGAGCACTTCAGTCTGACAAAATAGTTTGGCTCCTATGTTTTGAAGTTTCCAATATAATGTGATTTCTGTATCTGTGCATTCTTCCCACAGCTGGAAAGGTGCAGCAGGATAAACTGCGAATAGAAAAATCTGAGTTAGCTCCTGTAAAACAAAGTATATTCAAAAGTATTTAAAGGTATTTTAGCTGGGCAGTAAAAGCAAATAAGAAACACAGGGATCTTTTTCTGCCAGTCTAGGAAAAGCAGATATAAATTAATAAAATTAATTTCAAAATTTAAATGCAAGTAAATGTTACACAGGATTTAAGAAAACCCTTGTTCTAACTTGGAACTATTTTTTATTATCAAGAGCAAAAGAGAGTGAGAGACTTTTGCTGCAACTGCAGTAACATTCTCTAGTCCAGGGCCTGGCAGACACTCCTGATGCAGCATCGTGAGTAACATTTGCCACATCTCTACACCTCAGAATCTAGCCTCTTCATCAGAAATTCTACTCACAACTCTTACATTGACTCCTGCCAGTCCATTGACTGGCCTCTGGTGAACAGGGCCAGTGCTACTTCTGAAAGATGTCTGAGATCCTTTACTGCTATGTAAGCAGTACTCACTGAGAGCAGCAGATCTCTCAGATCCTCCCATGTTGGCAATTCAGTTGTATGGAATAAGGCATGGCAATGCAAGTGAGGGTATGTTTACAGCTTTGGCCATTATCCTAGCACTTCTTGGACCATGAATGACAATTTGAAAACTTCCAGACTCAGAGGAGCTTGTGCTTGATACAGAATGTCCCAGCTACCACAAGCAGAACAGAAAACAAAATACTTCAGTTTTCCTGTATTTTCTGACATCCTTTAAGTAAGGAAAATTCTACTGTAAATATGTCCAAAATCAGAGTAAACATAAAGGACTTTACAGCAATCACTAACTAAATAGTCAACACATCAGATATATTATATATAATTTCTTTAACTTAAAACAATCACTAGAACTGGATAAATTGTAGTAAAATTTTAATGTACTTAGCACATTGAATGTAATCTATTTTGGCCTGGATTTCCACGATAATTTATAATACTTTGTTGCCTCACTACAGCCTGCCACTTTACTCCTTCACTTCCTCTCTGCTCTGTTGCTTCTACCCTCAAATAATCAACTTTAGGTCTCTCATGCCTCTCTAAGACAAATCTAACAGAAACAAGCATTTAACATATGTTCCTGCAAGTCATATGAAAAAGCGTGTCTAGCAAAACTTTAATTGGTGCCTCTGCAGGAAGGAAGAACTGCCAGAATTCATCAGTTACACCAGCTGCCTTCCCACCCAGCAGCTGGTCAGCTTCAGAACTAAGTTAAGCACAAGTTGCCTCCTGCTTCTTCAAAGAGGTAAGGCAGCTACAGGGCCTTGGGAACACTGAGGTGGATGGGGTGGGGCTGGAGGATATGGGGAGAACTGGAAATACTGGTGGAGACACGGGAAATATCCAGGTGTTTTGAGGCAGGAGTAGGTAGAAACTTGCAAGATGTGGGGCACACTGTGAGATGACACAACTAACAGGGAAGAAGGAACCACAACCATCAGTCACTACTCATGGAATACCCTGTTTTATTTCACCAATGATGAACTACTCTCCCACTCTTAAAGTAGCATAGCCAATGTTACTGTTCCATATCAGCACCAAAACATGTTAGTACTACTACCTCTCTCCTGGCAAAATCTGCCTACATCTGTATCACATCTCATTTGGAGATGTGTTAGTAATTTTTCAAAATGTGCATCTCCATTTCAATTTGGAAATACATTAACATCAACAATAATATTTTGTAGAAGGGACTGAATTCCCAAGAAACCTACACAGATATTTTCTTGAACTCCTCATTGTATAACCCTGTATCATGTTACTTCCTGCACTATGCACCAGCTTCAGCAAAGCAGCAGATTTTGAAGCATTAAGGGATCACTTCCATAACCAGTTCTGACCTTTAGAGTGATGGTATTTTCTAACATAAACATAACTTTGCAAAGCTGAAGAGACAGCAGATAACTGTAGCACAGGGACAGATACCTAATGAAAACTGTGAAGACAAAATTCAAGGGCTTTCATACTTCAAAATGGGACACCCAAGATCAGAAGGAGGACAAGGTTTGCAATAGAACAGCCTCAACAAAGACACAGACAAAGACCTTACTTCTGTGAGCTACATTAAAAACATCCGTGGCAGTTTTCTTTCCCAGTGGGTTTTCCACAGTCACTGTGATATTATAGATCCTCTGCTGGTCTATATTCCAAGAACATGAACACTGCTCAGAACAACTTGCTGTGCATGGAACCAGTTTTTGGGAAAACCTATTCAAGAAGCAGCAGAGAAGGGGAAAAAGAGAGAAAGACATTTTTTCATAAAGTAGAAACATCACAGATGCTGACATTTTTTATACTAAACTAGAATACAGCATCATGAAAAATGAGGCTGAGGGGGAATATAAGAAGCCATCCCTAGACTTAGTTCTTTCCCTTAGCCTGAAGTAGGATGAACAAAGGTATTACCATTAGAATAACATTTTCTTCAGAGTCTGTGTTTACTTTACCCTTTTAAGATGCAGCTAAACTGTTATCCTTTTAAGATACAGCCATGCTTTCTTTTTCCTTTTAAGATACAGCTAAAAATTGCTTTTAGTGATTTCCTCACATAAATTCTAAACTCAGGATTTAATTGCCAAGAATTAAACCACTCACAAATCTACCATTATGCTTTTAAATGAAACTGTAATTTAAAGTATATCTTTTAACCTTCCATTTCTAAATCACCATCATAATAGAAGTGAGTGATGCAGATACCATGAAGGCATACACTGCAATGACCTGCCTTCTGCTGAGACCTTTTGATGAAAGCTTGTTGTGATGTTGAGGCACCTGTCCTGTTAAAGCTCTTCTCCTCCCCGTTCAGATGCCTCTGTAGCAAGGAGCCAAAGGTCAGGTCTCATATGCCTCAGCTGTGTAACCTTGAGTAAGACTACCAAGAAAAAGCTGTGAGAAAGTCTGCAGAGAAATTATAGACAGAAGTAGCATTTTTGACATAGGATTTTCAAGGACTCAAGAAGGAAAGCACCAGCATGTACATTTACAAAATCCTAAAGAAAAAGAATTAGGGAGGCTTTTCAGGCTAACTAAGGTGGTCTGGGAATCACCAGTTTGAGTCAGCATTAGTGTTAATGGATTGTGAACACATTTAATAGCCTCCCAGCTGATTAGATCCTAGTTGCCTGCTGTGTGTGTTACCCACTAGTTATATTAAACTTTAAAGTTATCTACATCCTGATTGCAGGATATCTACAAAAATACTGAGATATCTAAAACAACACAAACAAGAAAAGAATGGTAGCAACAATCCTTATCAAGCAGAACCTGATCTGATGTGCCTGCAACTTTGTTATAGGTAGTCTAACTGGCAGCAGTTCTGCACTGCTCAAACTCTGTTAAAGAAGGTGATCAGAAAGCAGGAAAGAGGCAGGCATCTAATTGTAATAAGGATAAAAAACATTTCCACAGATTTTAAAGGAAAGAACAAGACTGTTCTGTACAGTACAGGCCAGAGTTAATATAAAGATGAGAAGACTTACTCCTCAAACAAGGCATAATTTGGTGAATGACGTCCATAAAGATAAGTGTCTCCTCCTTGGCTCCAAGTACATGTTACTATCCTCATGTCTTGAGTTTGGCAGGAAAAATCTTTAGGTGTATCAGGTGGCTCTTGCCAGAGAGAATAACCAAAAAAACATCAACAGTGTGGCAGTCAAGGCAGAAGCAATCAGTTTTTACTAGATTAACAAACTCAAAATAATGGATATGTTCAAAGTCTAGTTTACTACAGATGTTATTCTTTCAATTAGATGTTTGTTGTGTTTTTTTGTTGTTGTTGAATGAATATGTTCCTGTATTGTTTTCTGTCTGTAAAAATTGCTACCAGCCTTTAAGAGGGAGACTGTGCTGAATTCTTGCCACATGTACACAGACAATGAAGCTGAACTACTAAATGGGTAGGTATATATAAAATGAGCCACCTGTCCTGGGATCAATTAATGAGATAAATCTGAACACATTTAATGCTATTCTTTAAAGCGTATTCCTATATGCAAAGGGAGAGATATGAAGTCAAACATTAAACTGAGTTCAGCTGGACATCCCAGGAAAATAAAAACTTACAGAAAGGTTATTTTTGTTTCTTTCCCCATTTCCCACAGTGTTTCTTGACTTCATAACAACAGGAAAACAGAACTGTAATAAAGCATTCACTTACTACCCAGAAAAAACCCTGCATGACCATAGCATTGGCTTTCTTTGCAAGACTCTTTACAGTAGACCGTGATGTAAGACACTTCTTGATGTGGAACATTTTTCACAGTGAGAAGTCCAACTTGACTGTTTGTGTGACTGAAAGCATGAATAGCTGGCTCTAGAAAGAATTCCTTAATGGTTTGACCTTTCCTTCCAATGCAACAAAGACTGATGTCAGAGCCTTCCTCTACAAATTTTTCATTTGGAAATATTTGTGGTCCATTGTTATTCGAAGTGTCCAGGCCTGCAAATTAATACATAAAAAACCACTTCAATATCTGATCATGGCAGCAGCATTCAATCAGAAGAGATAACTGAGTATTTACACAAAGATCTACTAAGATTACATTATACATTCATGGACTTCTATTAAGTATTCTTCCCCATACAGAGAGAGATAAACTTCAAAATGAATAATACCTATATTTCTTTTAAACTCAAAAACATCTTATGTAGTTCAACAAACTACATAAGAGACTAAATCAATCTCACTGTCTTTCACTTAAGGGAAAAAAATAATACCTGTGCCTTTAAGAACTGGCTTTAGAAAAGAACACTACTTCCTGCACCTACAACAGGCTGATGCTTGCCCCAGACAAGCACAACACACGCATCAGGTGATGTCACCATAGCTATGCACTTCCTCTCCTCTCCCTCAGCCTGGGCTAGGGCTGTGTCTGACCAGAAATGCCATGTGCACTGCATTGATTTAATGTGTGAGTGAGAAAAGCTCTAAAACTGTTGGTTTTCTAGCTTAAGAAGACAGTCTGCAAATTAAAACAATGTCTTAAGCACTATATAAAAAAATGCCATCTCTCCTGACTTGGACTTTAGCATTAAAGTCACTTGTGAATAACAATCTAACATTGTACAGGAAAAAACAGAAACAACACCGCAAAGTCTTCTTTTGCTTACCCAGGAGAGTCTCCCACCGACTCCACTGACTCCAGATTTTTGATGCGTTTACTTTACTCCTGATTCTCACCGAGTGTGACATACACTCCAAAGGGAAGTCTGAATCCCATATCCAATTTAGAGGCTTTCCTGATTTATCAAGTATGACGTTATGAAACTCCTAGAAACAGAGGCCAGTAAGGCAAGTACTGAAGAGACAGCAACATGTAGGTACTTTGGCAGTACAATCAAAAGCAGAGAGAAAGAGAGAAAGCTTAAAGGAGGAAAATGCTTTTGAAAAATGAACCTCTGAAATCCCAATTGTTACACATGACCCAACATTAAGTAACCAGCAAGCTAGAAAAGTGCTTGCAAGCAGTGGTGGAGTAATTGATGTGCTGGCAAGACTGCTTGATTCTGACATAGTTGTGCGTCAGGCCCTGCTTCTCATGAAATGGATTCTCTCTCAGAAACTTTCAGAAGGTTATTTGTGCCTGCTAATACATGAGTAATAACATGCACAGATGCTGCTGCCTGCAAGCGCATCTAGTCTAATGCCTTGTGTTACTTATCCCTGACTCTGAATTACAGCAGG